TCTAGTAATTACTAGAAATAGGGTACGCTGGTATATAAAAGAAGGAAATGTAATGTGTGTGTAGATAGTGAGTAATTGAACTGCAGTCACACGGTATTGTTGAAGTTAACGTTCGTTCTTTACAGTGTTGTTTTAGCGCGAGTATTGAGATTAAGTGTATCGCAGAGTTATATTCGGAAAGAATAAACCAGTTTCATTTAAGAAAGGACTTGTATTGGTAATGTTTCTTCGGAAAGAATTTTTACGGAAAATTAACTAATAAACGGAGGCGTAACTATATCCAAAAGTTAGGGTTTCATCAGCGTCTAATGAGATTAAACAATCACATGATATCGCATGTTGGTTTCGACAAATGCGAGGTTTCTTGGTTACTAAGAGACCTGGCATTTATAAATGAGTTAGTCTGGAGCTTCTCCTTCAGTTATTTCTAGAGTTTGATCTTGGCCAAAAGTATGCCTGAGAGAAGCTATTTAGAGCAATTGTCCAAAGCAAGAGGTCTCCAAGTAGACGCTTGTTTGTTTGTTTGTTTTTTTAATTATGCACAAAGCTACACAAGGGCTATCTGTGCTCTGCCCACCACGGGTATCGAAACCCGGTTTCTAGCGTTGTAAGTCCGCAGACATACCGCTGTGCCACTGGGGGGCACCAAGTAGACGCATTGAGTTTGTGTTTAATTTTACTCATTTCTAGAACTGGTCTTGGGTAAATTAAACCTCAGAGAAGCTATTTAAAGCAATCGCCCAAAGTAAGAGATCCCCAAGTTATTCAGTTATTTCTAGAGTTTGATCTTGTCCAAATTATGCCTGAGAGAAGCTATTGTTGCGTATCTGCTTGTTTGTTAATTTCCGGTGGAAATTCTTTCCGAGGAACTCCAACGATACAAGTTATTTCTTGATTAAAACTAGTTTTTTCTTTCTCGATACAACTTTGTAATACACATTAATTTCACAATCAATACGTTTCTCGTCTCTTTAAATTAACTACTTTTATAATACACGCTATAAATCACAGCGATTCACAATCTCGATAACAAAACACACACTAGCTCGAAACGGAATCGTAAATTGCCCGGAACTTTCTTCATTCAATCCCGCAGGCTTATATACTAAAAAAAAGAGGGCGTCCTGAACAAACTCGGTCTTTCCCGATAATTCATGATCATTCGAGAAATTCATCACGTGTTACCAGCGTCACGTGACTTTCGCTGTCGTAACATTATTTAGAGCAATTGTCCAAAGCAAGAGGTCTCCAAGTAGACGCATTGTGTTTGTGTTTAATTTTACTCATTTCTAGAACAGGTCTTGGGCAAATTAAACCTCAGAGAAGCTATTTAAAGCAATCGCCCAAAGTAAGAGCTCCCCAAGTAGTACACGCACTGTGTTTGTGTTTAATCCATTAATAAAGATTGCTTATTTCGTGTATTACTTTTGACCAGTCTCGTTATTTCATTTCACTTTGACTCAGTTAATGAAGTAAAAGACTTAGTTACACTTTATGATTGATATCTTGTACGAGTCTCCTGTTATTTAGCAGACCTATCCGATACTTCGAACATTCATC